TGTAACTTCATTTTCATAAAGGCTTTTGGCAAAAACAGCTCACGTAAATCAAAATGTGTTTTAAACATTTTAGTTTTTAAATGCCACAGATGTACTACAGTGCTTTTTTTCTACCGTTTTGTCTGCTGTTCAGCCTGGACCAGTGTAACCTTACAGAGGACTGTAGCGAAGACCTGGTTTCAACTCTCAGCTCCCCACAGCTGAGAGAGCTGGACCTGAGTGGCAATGACCTAAAAGACTCAGGAGTGAAGCTGCTCTCTGATGGACTGAGGAATCCACACTGTAAACTGGAGACACTGAGGTCAGTACTGCTAGAGAACTATAACTGTAAAGTGGAGATACTGAGGTCAGTACTGCTAGGAACTATAACTGTAAAGTAGAGACACCGAGGTCAGTACTGCTAGGGATCTATAACTGTAAAGTCAAAATACTGAGGTCAGTACTGCTAGGGATCTATAACTGTAAAGTGGAGATAGTGATATATTTCAATGACAATAAAAGGAAATATTTGACTGACCATCATTTTTACTTATTTCTGTCTAGGCTAATCCAATGTAACCTCGGAGTAGAGAGCTGTGAATGGCTGGCCTCAGCTCTCAGCTCAGACTCCTCACACCTGAGAGAGCTGGATCTGAGTGACAATGACCTGCAGGATTCAGGAGTGAAGCTGCTCTCCGATGGACTGAGGAATCCACACTGTAAACTGGAGATCCTGAGGTCAGTATTATTTAATGAAATTCAAGTTAGAAGGTGAAGATATTGCCTGATGTACCTGTACTTCGTTGTAACTATTTCCAAATGTTTTTTTACTGTTGTTTATGTTGTAAGGTTGGCCTGTGCTTTATAGTGTCTTATGAAAACTTGTTTTTCCTTGCTTAGATTGCACCAGTGTAAACTTAGAGAAGAATGTTGTGAAGAGCTGGCCTCAGCTCTCAGCTCAGACTCCTCACACCTGACAGAGCTGGACCTGAGTGACAATGACCTGAAGGATTCAGGAGTGAAGCTGCTCTCTGATGGACTGAGGAATCCAGACTGTAAACTGGAGATCCTGAGGTTTGTGCGCTTGTTGCTATTGCACTGCAAAAGCTGAAAAAACCATGGAGTCTTTGGAGGTTTGAGCGAGATTAGACTCACCCAATAAGACATGTTTACATTTACTAGGGGAAATCTAATGCACTGTAGTATAATAATGATACAATAATCTGTTCCTCTCTGCAGGCTGTCGGGCTGTCAAGTCACAGAGGCAGGTTGTGCTTCTCTGGCTTCAGCTCTGAAGTCAAACCCCTCACACCTGAGAGAGCTGGACCTGAGCTACAATCACCCAGGAGAGTCAGGAGTGAGACTGCTCTCTGCTGGCCTGGAGGACCCCAGCTGTAAACTGGAGAAGCTAAAGTGAGTATAATGTGTGTTGTGTCGCTTGTGAGCATGTATTTACTAAGTTAAGAAGACACACAAATCAGACAGTTAATGAAATAGATCATTTGATGACTAACAATAAAAAAACAGGTGTTCTAAACGTAACTACTGTTTTACTTATTTGTTGATCATTACACTGAAAAATCAGTTTTAGTTTAACATAAATGGTAACGCTTTACTTGAGGGGGCATAAATAATGTAGTAGTACACTCTTACTTAATGTATTAATTAACTAAGTGTTACTTGTATACAAATCCCATGTTTGTTCATCATT